ACCATCATCATCAATAAGTGTACGGATACCGTGAGTGCTGTGTGTCGCGAACTTTCGTTAAACAATCTAGTGACGGTAGATGAAGAAAAAACTGCTGTCACCTATCTACATTGACATCGCTGTTACTCCAGTCAGCTCGTGACCACGGCTAGTGCAACCTAGTCGAAACGTCGAGAGAGGTAAATACCTTTATTTACCATAAAATTATTCGTGTTAAGACCCGGTTAATAATTTAAATAACGTATATTAAACACGAAAGTTTAAAATTAACCATCATCATCAAATTAGTAGCTAAGTGTTAAGGTTTAAATAAAGTATTTAAACCTTAACACTTAGCCTATTTCAAAATCTTCTTTATTTTCATTTCTAGACTCATCATATACAAATGTGTTATATAATCTTAGACCTCTATCACCTATAAGACTTAGAAGAATAGCTGTTTTTATCTTACCAGACTTACTGTCACTCCCCAATGCTAGCTGAAATATTTCTAATTTCTGTTTGAAAATTTTCCAACTATATCCTTTCTTTCTTCTTTATTATCGTAGGTACATTATATAAGATTCATGAAAAATTTACAACTGAATACAGCGATGTTCTATTTGTCGCTTTTTATGTTGGTAGAGAATAGTGAGAAGAATATGAAATAAAATATTGTTGCTACCGAAAGCCTCGGTGGTCTAGTGGTTTAGCACACCGCTTGACTATCCGATGGTCGTGGGTTCGATTCCTCGCACGGCACAAACATTTGTATTCATGAGTATGATTGTTTGTATCGGTCTTGGTGTTTTCTGTATATAATATGTATTTATTTACAAAAAAAAATGTATCCATTTATATCAGTCTAGTACCCATAACACAAGTTCTGCTTAGCTTGGGACTAGATGGCGCTGTGTGAATTGTCCTGAGATATTATTCTTGTTATCAGGACCGTCTGGTATCAAAATTTTTCAAAGCTATAGAGTAGTACTATTATAGTTACTGTATTGTATAAATAGAAATGTTTTGTGGTAAAGATCAACACCTTCACTTCATTTCTGACAAATTCGAGTCCCATCTTACAAATTCAGAAATGACTGGCTAATTGTGAAATGGCATTTTTTGGTAATTCCAATGATAGGAATGCAAAACCAGAACAGCTGATGCATCGTCGTGCGCTTTGGACTGGAAAAAGGCTTCAGAACATGCTATATGCTAAAAGTATAAAAAAAAAAAAAAGGAGAATGGCATCCAAAAAAAGGAGAAGGGAAAAAAAAAAAGAAAAAAAACGAAATGGAGCAAAAAGGGAAAAAAAAAAAAAATTAGCCGAATTACGACAAAAAGTGAACTGTGAAATTAAACAATCAATAATTAAACAAAACCTGGACTATAACAAATAGTGAACTTTGAAAATAGTGTTAGAATAAGATTTCATATAATTGTATATGCAGTGTAAGAATTCATAATGTGTATTGTTACATTATGAATTCTTACATTGCACAATGTAATGAAAACTGTGAAATTAGTAGTAGTGTAAGATTTATATAATTGTATATGCATATTGATAAATCTAATCTTCCAAATAAAGATGGGTGACACTGCATGTTGTCAACTCACCCGGCCGGCCAGCGGTGGTTCTGGGCGAGACGGATAAGGTCTGCCTCGTTGCCACTGTTAGGCAACATCGGTGTAACATCTCGGCTGGAGTTGTACAAACATGGAAATTAAATAAATATAATAATATTAAAGTAAATTAAAAAAGGCACGGACGAATATGTCTGTGGAAAAATGTATTTAAATATAAAAAAAAAAAACCATAGGAATGCGAACAGAAGATTTTTGCTGATCACCAAAAAAGGGCTTCAGAAGAACTATATGCTCATTTGTATGAATGGCATCCAATGTCGCCAACTATCAAGAAAAGTTTACGAAATGGAGCACAAGTAATTCCATCAGCTTTAGTTGTAAACTATCAGAAGAGGTACCTTTTAGTACAATTAACATTATAATTAAGAGCAACACACAAGTTTCTTGCTTGTTCTTCTTGTGATGAGACAGCATTCCGAATGAGCGGTAGATAAAAAAAAATGTTATGACTATTCAAAAGTGCTTCAATGTAAGTTTATTTGAATAAATGAGTTTCTATTCTATTTCTATTCTATTCTATTAACATTTGAGTGATTACAGGCAAATTTATTGAAGAAATTTAGGAGGCATGTAAACGTGAAGTTATAATCAGGTTGCTACTAACATCAGATCTTGTTTTAAACAACATTAAAAAAGAAATCAAAACCATAAAGGAACTTTATCATCGCTGCCGATTTGACAAGAATTATACTGATTCCGATAGTAATTTAGATATAAGTAGCGATGTGGATGTATAATTTCCAGGGATGTTATGGATATGAAATTTCGGATACGGATAGGTCTCGGATATAGGAATGGTTATGGTATATAATTTCAAAGTAAAATACAAATAGCTAATAAAATGGTTACATAACGTGTTTCAATTAGGCTTCGCCCCTATCCGATATTATCCGAAACTTTTATTTCGGATTCGGTTTCGGTTACGGTTACGGAGCTCCTTAACATCCCTATTCTAGAGAATCCATTGTACTTCTTACCTGTTGAAGATGTTAATGCAATGGAAGATTTCAGAAATGCTAAAGATTTGGTATCTGAAAAGATTAACTTAAAAAAATATTGGCTTTTTTAACGTCAACAGTATTACCATCTTACCAACAAAAAAAACGTCATCATAATTGGTCCATACAATTAGAACAGATTACCTTAAAAAACATTTGCTTTTAACATCAACAGGACTACCAGATTTCCAACAAAAAAAAACTCATCATAATCGATCAGTACAATTAGAAGATTACTTTAAAAATACATTAGGTTTTTTAAGATCAACAGCACTAGCGATTTATAACAAAAAAAAAACCTCATCATATTCGATCCGTACAATTAGAAAAGATTACCTTAAAATAGCATTAGCTTTTTTTAACATTAACAGCACTACCAGCTTCCAAACAAATAAAAAACCTCATCACAATCGGTCCTTACATTTAGAAAAGATTACCTTAAAAAACATTACTTTTTTTAAATATTAACAGCACTACCAGATTTCAAACAAAAAAAGAAAGATTATAAACGATTATCTTAAAAATACCTTAAAAAAATAATGCCTTAAAATCAACCATTACTTTTTTAACATCAACAAGGCAAGACCAACAAAAAAAACTTCCATCATTCTTGATTCGTACATTCAGTACTTATAAGATTATCTTAAAAAACATTCGTTTTTTTGTAACATTAACAGCACTACTAACTTTCCAACAAAAAAAAACCTCATCATAATCAGTCCCTACATTTAGAAAAGATTACCTTAAATGATTTCTTTAACACGAACAGCTACGGACATCACGATATCATGTGACCGTGATAGCACTCTTGCATTGCCATTCCAGAGTACTAACATGTCACGCCTCTTATCCTGTAAGTTCACTTCCTAATCTGCACACTACAACCGAAACAGCTTACAAAGAAAGCTGCCTGGCTGAAATAGGTGAGTAACAGCAAGTTCGGAGGAGAAAGGTGATTGTTAGTAATAAGATCATCAGTCCACTGATGATTTTATTGCTAGCAATGTACCATGTCGGTTGACTTCCTCGCGATTCCCCCTGGAAACCATCGTCATAAATTTGTCACGGTGTGCTAACTGACCTGACCTCATGCCCATCTTATCATCCTCCACTGGTGCCCCGCCAGCGTAAACCGTTAGGGCTATTGTCAGATGACTAAGACCTGTAGCACTGCGACCTACATAGATCTATTGTGCTCGCCCTTTTTCAAAGTTCGCTACCTAGACCCGTTAGGGACAAGAATTGAAGGATATTCTTAGGAGCGATGGTTTTTATCTCCTCAGGATAGAGTGTATACTTTCCAAAGGAGATATTTCGTTTATACATGAGTGGGCTACAGCCACAGAGGATGTGAAGCGGCGTTTCCTCTTCAGTCATGTCAGGTTGATCTCCACGCGGTTTCATCTGGAAACCATCGTGATAAATTCTTGGTGAATTTGTCACGATGTGCTACTGACCTGACCTCATGTTCTTATCATCCTCCACTGGTGCCCAGCCAGCGTATACCGTTAGCGCAGGCGGGTGCTCCATTACATATCATCCATAAAAAAATAGTATATTCAACATTATGCCTACCTTTACTATACTACCTTTTACCATCGCACCGCTCGCCATCGACAGGGAATTCATCACACGTTGGAACCTAAGTTGTCTCGGACAGTGCGGTTTCAGAGGAGCTTCCTCCCGCGTACACTTAGATTGTGGAATGAACTACCTCCCGAGGTTTTCTCGAGAGACTACAGCCTGGGGTTTTTCAAGAAGGGTATATTAAGGTTTCTTAAGGGTCGGCAACGCATGATACCCCTGATGTTTCAAGCGTCCATAGGCTACGTGCCTCCCTAAAATATGGTCGAGCGCAGTGATGGCTGGCTCATACGTCATACTCGTGAACGAGTGCTGCTTGTAGGGACTGGTCTGCTCTTATCACTACGACTGATTTAATCTATTGTGTACTAGCTGTACACGCGACTTCGTCCGTCGTGGAATTTAACTTTATTTTTCTAAAATAAAAATATTTGTTCTTACTAAGTTACTCCTTATCACATCAGCTATTTGCAGCTGGAACGATTTTCACGGGACTTTTATTGGCAGCAATAAAAGTCCCGTGAAAGTCGTTCCAGTCATTCCAGGGATTAGCCGAAACAAACAAACAAACAAACAGAAAGGCAAAAATTGTAAAAAATATTATTTTGGTGTATGTACCGTATTTATATTTATATGCATGTAGTAAACAACGGTTATTTCAATATTACAAACAGACACTCCAATTTTATTTATATGTATAAATAATCATTTACCATCAGATAGGCCGCATGCTTGCCATCGTAGAGGTTAAAAAAGGTAAATAAGAATAAATACACGATTTTAAAACGTAAATATATTATATTTTAGGTATAAAATAACTTAGCTGCCTTGGTATCCTTCGGTCTTCATATCGTTGAGTCCCAACTCCTCGTTTTGCTCGAAGGATCGGTCGTATCGACTTATTTTTATACCTACATGCAGAAATATACAAAGATGTTACATTATAATATGGATGGTTATAAGGGCAGAGGAAGGCCGAAAAAGATATGGATGGACTGTGTGAAAGATATGGTAAGAAAGGAGTAAATAACGAGATGACTCACGTAATGCGTAGGAATGAAGATATTTTAAGGAAGGTTCTACATATAAATGTGGAAGGTTATAAGGGCAGAGGAAGACCGAAAAAGAGATGGATGGACTGTGTGAAAGATATGGTAAGAAAGGAAGTAAATAACGCGATGACTCACGTAATGCGTAGAAGTGAAGATATTTTAAGGAAGGTTCTACATATGAATGTGGATGGTTGTAAGGGCAGTGGAAGACCGAAAAAGAGATGGATGGACTGTGTGAAAGATATGGTAAGAAAGGAAGTAAATAACGCGATGAGTCACGTAATGCGTAGAAAGGAAGATATTTTAAGGAAGGTGTTACATATGAATGTGGATGGTTGTAAGGGCAGTGGAAGACCGAAAAAGAGATGGATGGACTGTGTGAAAGATATGGTAAGAAAAGAAGTAAATAACGAGATGAGTCACGTAATGCGTAGAAATGAAGATATTTTAAGGAAGGTTGTACATATAAATGTGGATGGTTGTAAGGGCTGAGGAAGATCGAAAAAGATATGGATGGACTGTGTGAAAGATATGGTAAGAAAGGAAGTAAATAACGCGATGACTTATGTAATGCGTAGGAATGAAGATATTTTAAGGAAGGTTCTACATATAAATGTGGATGGTTGTAAGGGCAGAGGAAGGCAGAAACAGAGGTGGATGGACTGTGTGAAAGATATGGTAAGAAAGGAAGTAAATAACGCGATGACTTATGTAATGCGTAGGAATGAACAATGAACCCTTACAACCATCCACATTTATATGTAACACCTTCCTTAAAATATTTTCAGTCTTCAGGGATTATAAGGAGCTTCGTAACCGTAACCGAAACTATCGGATATCCGATATAAAAAAGTATCCGTAAAATAAAAGTTTCGGACAATATCGGATAGGGGCGGAGCGTAATTGAGACATGTTATGTAACCATTTTATTAGCTATTTGTATTTTACTTTTGAAATTTTTTAAATAATATTATCCGTAACCGAAATTATCCGAAACTACCGAATAATCCGAAATAATTTCATATCCGCATCTGTATCTGTATCCGGTATAATAATCATTCCTATATCAGAAACCTATCCGTAACCCAAATTTCATATCCATAACATCCCTGATTCCTACGCATTACATAAGTCATCTCGTTATTCACTCCCTTTCTTACCATATCTTTCACACAGTCCATCCACCTCTTTTTCGGCCTTCCTCTGCCCTTATAACCATCCACATTCATATGTAACACCTTCCTTGAGATATGAAATTCATTCCTACGCATTCCCATAAATTATAGTTAGTTATAAAATCTTTTAGAGAACAGTGGCTTACCATCATCAAGTGTGTTGGGGTCATCGCTCAGGCTCTGCACATATGAGTTCCCAGCTGGATCATCCAACACTATAGTAACTGAACGCTTCCCGTCCAATACCTCATACAGCTTGTCTATGAATCTGTAACAAATATGTATAGAATAGAATAGAAGCGTCCCCGGTGGCGGCGGGCGTGGTGGCCAGCTGGTGCGCGGTGGCCCGGCGGGGGGTCGCGGGGGGGGGGGGTCACTGACCGGTGGAGGCCGGGCGCGGCCCGGGAGGGCGCGTCCCCGGTGGCGGCGGGCGCGGTGGCCAGCTGGTGCGTGGTGGCCCGGCGGGGGGTCGCGGGGGGGGGGGTCACTGACCGGTGGAGGCCGGGCGCGGCCCGGGAGGGCGCGTCCCCGGTGGCGGCGGGCGCGGTGGCCAGCTGGTGCGCGGTGGCCCGGCGGGGGGTCGCGGGGGGGGTCACTGACCGGTGGAGGCCGGGCGCGGCCCGGGAGGGCGCGTCCCCGGTGGCGGCGGGCGCGGTGGCCAGCTGGTGCGCGGTGGCCCGGTGGGGGGTCGCCGGGGGGGGGTCACTGACCGGTGGAGGCCGGGCGCGGTGGCCCGGCGGGGGGTCGCGGGGGGGGGGGGTCACTGACCGGTGGAGGCCGGGCGCGGCCCGGGAGGGCGCGTCCCCGGTGGCGGCGGGCGCGGTGGCCAGCTGGTGCGCGGTGGCCCGGTGGGGGGTCGCCGGGTGGGGGGTCACTGACCGGTGGAGGCCGGGCGCGGCCCGGGAGGGCGCGTCCCCGGTGGCGGCGGGCGCGGTGGCCAGCTGGTGCGCGGTGGCCCGGTGGGGGGTCGCGGGGGGGGGGTCACTGACCGGTGGAGGCCGGGCGCGGCCCGGGAGGGCGCGTCCCCGGTGGCGGCGGGCGCGGTGGCCAGCTGGTGCGCGGTGGCCCGGTGGGGGGTCGCGGGGGGGGGGGGTCACGGACCGGTGGAGGCCGGGCGCGGCCCGGGGGGGCGCGTCCCCGGTGGCGGCGGGCGCGGTGGCCAGCTGGTGCGCGGTGGCCCGGTGGGGGGCCGCGGGGGGGGGGGGGGGGGCTGACCGGTGGAGGCCGGGCGCGGCCCGGGAGGGCGCGTCCCCGGCGGCGGCGGGCGCGGTGGCCAGCTGGTGCGCGGTGGCCCGGTGGGGGGTCGCCGGGGGGGGTCACTGACCGGTGGAGGCCGGGCGCGGCCCGGGAGGGCGCGTCCCCGGTGGCGGCGGGCGCGGTGGCCAGCTGGTGCGCGGTGGCCCGGTGGGGGGTCGCGGGGGGGGGGTCACTGACCGGTGGAGGCCGGGCGCGGCCCGGGAGGGCGCGTCCCCGGCGGCGGCGGGCGCGGTGGCCAGCTGGTGCGCGGTGGCCCGGTGGGGGGTCGCCGGGGGGGGTCACTGACCGGTGGAGGCCGGGCGCGGCCCGGGAGGGCGCGTCCCCGGTGGCGGCGGGCGCGGTGGCCAGCTGGTGCGCGGTGGCCCGCAGCAGTCCCTCGGCGGTGGTGAACCGTCCTCCCAGCGCGCGCCCGCCCACAGACACCTCCAGCTCCGGTATCTCCATAGAACACGTCTCCGCCTACAAATTAAACAATTATGTATGACTGTCACCATCTATCTATAACTTAAGTCACACTGGGGGGAAAGAGATTGAAGATTGAAAATAATTACTCCAGTGCTAGCAATGTACCAAGTCAGGTTGACCTCCACGCGCTTCCCCCTGGAATCCATCGTGATAAATTCCTGAAGAATTCGTCACGATGTGCTAACTGACCTGACCTCGTGCTCATCTTATCATCCTCCACTGGTGCCCCGCCAGCGTATACCGTTAGCGCAGGCGGATGCACCATTACATTATCATTAATTAAAACTTACGTCACTCTAATTTCAGACAAAGGGGAGGGGGGGGCACGTTACAACTGAACACATCCAGTTGTAACATGTCCCCCTTAAATAGTCTTTTTTTTTATTAATAATGGGATTGCGCTTGGTCTTACCTCATCTGATGGTAAATGATGGCAAGACCTAGGATTTAGCGCGCTTACACAGAAGAAGCTTTTGCTGTTCCAATACAAAAAGTTATAATAATGATATCTAATAATCTAAAAATTAAATTAAATTGTTACCATGTACCACTGTCTCAGAACCATAGATAACTTGATATCACACTCATTTCAGTCATTTTTAGGTGAGGGGGACATGTTACTACTTGGTCACCCTTTAATAATAAAAATTCCTGTTCGAATACCAAAAGTTATAATAATAATATCTAATAATCTCAAAATTATAGTCCATCGTTACCATGTACTACTGTCTCGGAACCATAGATAACTTGATTTCACACTCATTTCAGTCATTTTTAAGTGAGGGGGATATGTTACAACTTGGTCACGTTTTAATAATAAAAATTTCCTGTTCGAATACCAAGAGTTATAATAATTTCTAAATTATACTTCATCGTTATCATGCACCACTGTTTCAGATCCATACATATTCTTTTAAGTAAAATTTAGGGAGGGGGGCAGGTTACAAGCTTCTACAGTACATCGCTATCATTTACTACTATCGAGGATTTTTCGGAAATATTTTTAAAAACTTACTATAGTAGTACTTATAGCTGTGCCCGCGGCACATTTTATGACTCATTTATTTATATACACATTTTACACGAGTGAAATCGTGTAAAATTTATAGCTTATGTGTTATTCTGATGTATGAGCTATATTACTGTATAGTTTCGTCAAAATGCGTTCAGTCGTTTTTGCGTGAAACAGTAACAAACATCCATCCATACTCACAAACTAACTACCCACCCCAGCTTCGCACGGGTGTACATGTATTATATATATAAACCATCCTCTTGAATCACTCTATCTATTAAAAAAACCGCTTCAAAATCCGTTGCGTAGTTTTAAAGATTTAAGCATACATAGGGACGGACAGCGACAGCGACTTTGTTTTATACTATGTAATGATATCTCACCACCTTGATAACCACTCACCTTGAGTATATCCCGGGAGAAGTCGTGTCTACCAGCGACTCGGACCTCGAACCTGACACCCTTGTCTTCCACACCACCACCAGACTTCACCTGCAACAAGCGACCGCTACAGAACTCACCCCAATAACTACCTTTCACTGGGGTGAAATGGGATTGTTAGTAATGTGGACTGATGATCTTGTTCCTAGCAATGTACCATGACAGGTTGACCTCCACGAGGTGTGTAACTATGTATAATAGATGTATAATTGTGTATAACGATGTATAATTGTGTATAACAGATGTCTAATTATGTATAACAGATGTATAATTAGGACAGTAACTCACTTCGTTGGTGCGGTGTCCGCATGCATCACAGTTGGTCGCCATTATCACCACCTCCTTGAAATGTGGAATGTCTGAAATTCATTTATTGAACATTAAACCTTACTGTTAATACTAATAAAGACTATTCTATACAAAGAAAAAATAACATTGATATAATTTGAGAACCTCTGTAGTCTAGCGGTTTAGCACTGCACCTTTTTACTTCAATTGTTAGAGGGCTGAATTCCTATGACAGAGTACTTTTTTTTTTTTTTTTCTCTCTGGCAACACTGCCGATAACAGTCTTTGTCAGTTGGCTCTTATTTATTTATTGTTTTTAATTTATTACTTGTGAAATAACGATACTAGTGTATATAATCAGTGAGTTTTGGGCATAAGTAACGTCGATTATTGTTGGTGTGCAAATCTGTGATTTCTTTGTGACAAAAATCTACGTTACAAAATTTGTGGGACCGCCAACTGTCAAAGTATTGGTAATTTACAATAGAAGTCTTGGATTTCTATTGTCTCCTTTAATAATTAAATACAGTTATTACACTTCACTATTACTATATCCGTTTACAAATAAACAATAATATTAAAGTTAAATATTCGATAGTGAAGATCGGTTGTTGTTGTTGAGAGGAAAAAAAAAACTACCCACTAACATAAAATATTATTGTTATTGCAATACAGCTCATAAAATTTATTTATTATCATATTGATAATATATTCCAAATAGCTGTGCGAAACTAAACTTATGTATTTGATTAAATAACAATACAATATTAGTAATCCATAGCCATTGCTAGATATCATATGACAAATTAAGACATATTTACTGTAGTGGTAATATATAAGATTAATTATTTTTTTGTAACAGTATTGGTATTTAAAGTTTTTACTAACAATATTTACTTATTTATTTATTATTAAATTATTTTATTGAAGGGAAATAGCGCACTTTCAACACTGTATTTCTTCTATTGAATAATATTCATTGTTGTCTTGTTTCGTAGATATTTAACATAATAATTAAAAATGATGTCCCGCAGAGCATGTGATCTTGATGCTAAGCTCAAGGTGACACTCTTAGAGTTAAAAAAATCCAATGAATTAAATAAGGCCTTATTACAGGAACGAGATGAAAGTGAGATTGAAATTAAGTTGATGTCTGATAAATATGTGGCTCTGAAGAATGACCTAGTGAAGATCAGTACAGACTTTGAAGTTCTACATATCGAAAATGAAAAACTTCAAGAAATTGTAAATAAATATGATCTGTGCAGAGACACATATGAGTCAGCATTGCAGAAAATCACTCATCTAGAGCGGCACCTTGAGGAAGTTCAATCACAAAATAAATCTTTGTTGGATCACAGGCGGTTGAGTAGTTATAACGAGACCATGGATCTGTATACAGAAATGTTAAATACTACTAGTGATCAAACATCTGCTCTGCCCCTTGTGACCATAGATTTGACAAATACACCAAGCTCCTATAGTCCTAATAAAGTACCTATTAATACTAGTAATAAGTTAAAAAAATATGTAAAATTAAATAAATTTATTCGAAAATCAGAAAATTTAGTGAAAAGTCATAAAAAGTGTTTAAAATCAATTATTACTAGGAAGCAAAAAATTGACTTATCAATAGAATTAAATAATTGTAAAGAAAAAATATATAACAAAGATTTAGAAATAGATGAATTATCACAAAAAATTAAACTATTAGAGAACTCGTTGTCCAATTTATCTTTGAAATACGAATCAGCTAAGAATGAAATACATGAATATTCTGATCAGTTGGATAATTTAATAAAATTAGGTAACTACAACATGGAGCGGTTTGTTTCTCTTACGGATAGATGTCACTGTAATTCACCAGAGTCTGATAACTATATCCAACCGTCCCACCATAATCAGTTGAACATTGATATCTCATCCGTCACGGAACCAGACGTTTCATGTTTACCCACACGAAACAGTACAAAAGTAAATAAATGCAGCACTGTACATGAAACCATCAGGAGAACAATTGTTTATTCAGATGAATTTGGCAAGGATTTAGGTAGTTTATTATCGAACTGTCTCTCGCAACAAGTAATAAATAATTGTTTTCCGGGATCAGGTATATATAAGATTATAAGAAATATAGTAAATGAAAAATATGATATTCACACGACCCTAGTAATAGCGTTAGGGAATTGTTTGCATATGCGTAAATCTGATATAGTTAATTTAATAAAATCATTATATAATATAGTGGAGCTCGGTATAGGTAAAATATTATTATGCGCATTTCCCTACTCTCAATCCCTGACTAATGAACAGAATAAGTTCATTTATAGTATAAATAATTTAATTTATTCGATGACATATCATTGTAATGATATATTTTATTTTGAAAGTAACAAATTTGTTACAAATTATTATATGACGGGAGGTAATTTTTATCTTCCTAAAAAACAAAAAAGGGCTATTGCTAGTTTACTAGCGTATAACATTTATGATCCCATTATAAGTAGTATAACGGATTTAATTAGTAATATTAGTAATAATACTAATAATGTGACATGTGTTAATTTAAACTAACATCTACGACATTGGTTAAGCCACAGGATATGGTCATTATTCATCAAAATATTCGTGGCTTCTCCAGCAAAGAATTAGAATTAAGTCTATTCTTAGAATCTAACAATGTACGGGTGTTATGTCTGACAGAACATTGGCTTAAACAATATGAAATAATTTGTCCTTTTGAACATTATAATATAGCTAGTTTTTTTGCTAGGAACAATGCCATTCATGGCGGGTCAATTATTATTTTAAAAAATGATGTAGAATATAAAAACCGTCAAGACATTGTAAATATTTCTATTGAGCAAACAATTGAACTATCTTGCGTAGAATTAGTTACTTGTATAATAATTTGCGTTTATCGTCCGCCATCGGCTTGTTTTGATTCTTTTGAACTGGCTATGGAGGAAGCATTGAGACGAGTCGCACGGAGGAATAAAACATTATTTGTATGTGGCGATTTTAATGTTGATTTATTATCGGAATGCTCAATAAGCTTAAGATTGATTAACTTATTTAAATCATTTAATTTGCACAATCTTTTTTTAGAACCCACTAGGGTCGCAGGAAATTCTGCCACTTGTATAGATAATGTTTTTTGTAATTGTGAAGTAAAGGTGAAAATGAATTTCGACTGTCTTGGATCTGATCATTATGGACAAAAAGTTATAATTGAAACTAAGGGATCCAAAGGGACTCAAACAATTACATGCAGACAAATAACACAAAAGAATTTGGCACGTTTTAAAAATAAAATTGAACATAAAATATCTAGTGTCATAGTACCTCAATATGACCCGGACATTGTATGTGAACATATTTTTAATTTAATTGAACATGAAGCTAGCAGTGAATTTAAAACAAAAACCTTTTCAACTAGTGTAAAATCAAAGTTTTGTGACTGGGCCACGTTTGGTATTTATAAGTCTAGGGCTAATCTTTACGAACTTTACGAAAAACGAAGCTATATATCCGATCCCTTATTTCATGAACATGTAAAATTTTATTCGAAAATATTTAAAAAGGTTTGTCATACAGCTAAGTCTCTCTATTTAGGTAAAATAATAACTAAATCTAAAGATAAAATAAAAGCCACTTGGAAAGTAATAAATAGCGAAACTGGAAAAGTTAATTTTCAAAATAGTAAAATAGCTTTAAATATTAATAACAAATTGGTAAATTCCGACACAGAGGTCGCGGATACATTCGAATCTTATTTCACTAATATTCCATTAATTACGACACAGGCTCTAAAATCTTCCCCGTCTGCTGCTGAAACTTTACTAACAGACAATGTTAGCAAGTCATCAGCTGTATTTAACTTTAGACATACATCATCAGTAGAAATAATGAAAATATTCAAACAGCTTAATAATAAAAAAACAGAGGATCTATGGGGTATATCTGTTAAAATACTAGATAGTATAATGGAAATTATTGCGCCCTCTCTTGCTTTTATTTTCAATAAATGTATAGATGAAGGTAAATTTCCTAACATAATGAAAATTAGTAAAATCATACCGCTTTTTAAATCTGGAGATAGGAGTGACCCAATAAATTATAGACCTATATCTATACTCCCAGCACTCAGTAAAATTTTTGAAAAAATAATCCTTATGCAGCTTGTCAGTTATTTCAATTTAAATAATTTAATCCACAATAGTCAATTCGGTTTTTCCAAAGGTCGTTCAACTACAGACGCAGGTGCAGAGTTGCTTAGACACGTATTTGCTGCATGGGAAACTAAAATGGATGCGATAGGTGTTTTTTGTGACCTTTCTAAGGCTTTTGATTGCGTTGATCATAATACATTGCTAAAAAAACTTGCTTTTTATGGCGTCAAAGACAATGCTTTAAATTTAATAAAATCTTATCTATCTGATAGAATACAGAAAGTGAAGGTTAGCAACGCTACGTCTGACGGGTCACTTGTGCAAATGGGTGTACCTCAAGGATCTATTCTCGGTCCATTTTTATTCCTAGTTTACATTAATGATCTCCCATATGCCATGCAGGATAGATGCGGCATAGTATTATTTGCAGACGATACTTCATTGATTTTTAAAGTTAATAGAATGACTAATAATTATGACGATGTAAATAGTGCTTTGCGGCGTCTCCTGCACTGGTTTACAACTAACAATCTTATGTTAAACGCTAAAAAAACAAAATGTGTTAATTTCTCTCTGTCTAAAAGTAAGGTTAGACAGTACACTGATACTGATACTGCTAGATTAGTCTATTTTAGTTATTTTCATAGTTTACTCTCTTATGGAATATTACTATGGGGAAAAGCGGCAGATATTAAAAATATATTCATATTACAAAAACGTGCCGTTCGAGCGATCTACTGTATGAAGAGTCGTGACTCATTAAGAGAGAAATTCAAAGAGGCAAATATTCTCACCGTTGCTTCTCAATTTATATATTCAAATATCCTATATGTTCATAAAAATCTTGACTTATTTCCAAAAAACAGCAATATTCATAATATTAATACAAGATTTAAAGACAAACTTGCTGTCCCCAAGTATCGTTTAGAAAAAGTTAATAGGTCTTTTATGGGAATAGGTATAAAAATTTACAATAAGATACCAAAGGATATGTTGGAATTACCCTTAAATAAATTCAAAACATCTGTTAAATCATATTTACTGAGCAAAGCCTATTACTCACTAAACGATTACTTGAATGACGAGTGTGCATGGCAATAGTTGTTCATGCACTGAATTTTCATTTAATGTTAGACATAGACACCTATATAAATATACATTGTAAATAAACTGGCTTTAAAAAAAAAGTAATTCAATTGAGTTTCTTGCCAGTTCTTCTCAATTGGATCTATATACCGAACTGGACGGTAGGGAAAAAAATAAAATTATAATGTAAAAATTTGACGTTCATAATCGGCTAAAATGTCCTACATGAATAAATGATTTTTGAATTTGAATTTGAATTTGAAACCAAGGATCCTAAACTACAACTGAAATAATCATTATGATTACGACGGAGTGATGCAGGTGATATAAACTACAAGTACGGCGGAGTGATGCAGGTGATATAAACTACAAGTACGACGGAGTGATGCAGGGGATATAAACTACAAGTACGACGGAGTGATGCAGGGGATATAAACTACAAGTACGACGGAGTGATGCAGGGGATATAAACTACAAGTACGACGGAGTGATGCAGGGGATATAAACTACAAGTACGACGGAGTGATGCAGGGGATATAAACTACAAGTACGACGGAGTGATGCAGGTGATATAAACTAGAAGTACGACGGAGTGATGCAGGGGATATAAACTACAAGTACGACGGAGTGATGCAGGTGATATAAACTACAAGTACGATGGAGTGATGCAGGGGGTGTATGTAAACTACAAGTGAAATATTCATTACGACGTTTTTTTTTTCGGACTACTCTAATGCTGTTGGCCGCAGCTGGCCTTTATATCTTCACCGAACGATAGGGGCCGAGTGTAGATGGCACTCCAAACCCGCGGAAGCACTTATGGAGCGGCTGAAGGCCGACTTCCGCCTGACAGATACGACTAGTCTGAGGGCACCATTAAGGGTTCGAACCTCGGCTCAGGCCGACGTAATATCGATCCCCGTTTGAATTGGACGGGGGATCGATTGGAGGGGGCCATTACGACGGAGTGATGCCGGGGTGATGCCGGGGTTATAAACTACAAGTACGGAGTGATGGAGGGGATATAAACATTTGAAATGCTGAACAAAAGCGACTATCGACTAGCGACTCACTGGTAATCTTCATGTTGGTGTCGGCGGGCGCGTTGCACTCCGGACAGTTGGTGCGGAACTGCAGTATCTCGTCCGCGGCCAGACTTTCGTACGTACACTGCGCGGGGTCCGCGGGGGACAATAGTACGTCGGGTACAGTCGGCTTTGCTGCCTCGTCTGACACCTAATAAAACACACAATATTAGATAACGAGAAGGCGTCAGTGTTTTATTTCTACCCATGGTCTAAGGTTCGATTCCTTGCACGGTACAAACAATGGTATTTATAAAAGTTCACTGCGCGGAGTCCGCGGGGGACAATATACGTCGGGTACCACGTACCCGACGTACTATTGTCCCCAGTATCTCGTCCGCGGCCAGACTTTCGTACGTACACTGCGCGCGGGTCATATATATGCTAGCTACTCGCCCCGGCTTCGCACGGGTATACATGTATTATATATATAAACCTTCCTCTTGAATCACTCTAAAAAAACCATTTCAAAATCTGTTGCGTAGTTTTAAAGATTTAAGCATACATAGGGACGGACAGACAGCGACAGCGACTTTGTTTTATACTATGTAATAAGATTAACAATGATATATATTATAAATATATTACTAAAATTCAAAATATACTGAAATTTGAGGCGTACAGCTAGTGTACTTATTATTAAATAAATATTTATGCATTGTAAATAAAGTGGCTTTTAAAAAAAAAAGGAATTTAATTGAGTTTTTGCCAGTTCTTCTCAATTGGATCTACATTACATTATGTGATGATTGTTGACTTTTTTTTTTATTACTATATAATTAGAATGGTACATAAGACATTAATTTTAAATTATAATATTATAGATTATTCCATTTTAATATACCCAAAATTTGCATGCCCGTAAATTGGGGCAATTAAACAGTGGCCAATAATATTATTACCTGGACATATTATAATATCTAACTGTATAATACGCAAATAAATTTCATTTCATTTCATTTCATACCGAACTGGACGGTAGGGAAAAAAAAAATTATAATGTAAAAACTTGACGTTCATAAGCGGCTAAAATGTCCTACATGATAAATGATTTTTGAATTTGATTATGAATGATCACTGACCTCATCTGGTGCGAAGATGCCCAGGATGTGATTCTCCTCTTCCGAGCGTATGAAGTCTGTTCTCTCGCAGTTAGGGTCCTTACGAGGCACCTCAGGATTCTCCACAAAACAATTACCTGGTCACAAGAATATTATATATAGACAGCCCCGATGGTCTAGCGGTTTAGTACACCGCATTACTTCGGATGGTCGCGGGTTCGATTCCTCGCACGGCACGAACATTTGTATTCAGGTGTTTGGAGTGTCTGTTTGTAATATTAAAATAACCACATTTTTTACTGCATGGATATGAATATAAATATGGAACATACACACATTTTTTACTATTTTTGTCTGTTTGTTCCGGCTAATCTCTGAAATGGCAGGACCGATTTTGATGACACTTTTATTGGCAGGTAGCCGATGTAATAAGGAGCAACTTAGGCTACTTTTATTTTTTTTTAAATAAAGTTAACTGCCATGTGGACGAAGTTGCGAGTAATTTTGAATATGGATAAAAGAATATATAAAAACAGCCAGTTACTCTCATTTTTTAGAATAGAATAGAAAATCATTTATTCAAATAAACTTACATTGAAGCACTTTTGAATGTCATTACATTTTTTAATCTACCGCTCATTCGGAGCTGTCTCATCACAAGAAGAACGAACAAGAAACTTGCGTGTTGCTCTTTTAAATAATTTTATTATTACTTTACATTTTTAAGATTAAGTGTGTGAATACAAACCACCAATTAGCACTAATTCAATTAAATACTCAAATAGAAAAAATATTGAATATATAACCAACTGGTTAAACAATTAATGAGAGGAAATCAGTCATAGTGATTAGAGCAGACCAGTCCCTACAAGCAGCACTCGTATTACGCATATCACCCGATTGTAGGTCTAACACTACCACCTCTTTTTCTGTCGCCCTCCTTTCTTTCTCCCTTCTTCCCTCTCTCCCTCTCTTCTTCACCCTCTTCTTTTCTGATTTGCAATTAAAACTAACTCACCACTAATATCCTCAAGTTCTAGAGTCCACGGCTTGTCCAATCTTCTCAGCTCTTGAAGACTCTCCACAAAGTCATCTATTTGTGCTGCTGCCTCCGGATGATCTAGTCTCCTCGCCTCTTGGTCCTGAGTGAGGGCGGTCTCAGCTCTGGTTATTATACCTTCCACTGTGGTGACATCTAGAACAGAACAGAATAGAAACTCATTTATTCAAATAAACTTACATTGAAGCACTTTTGAATAGTCATCACATTTTTTATTCAATCATTGTTTTTTATAAATGCGAAAGTACCTATATGTTTGTCGCGCTCTCACACCAATTCTACTGAAGCGATTTAAATGAAATTTGGCACATAGTTAGTGCTTATAAGGGTATCTTCTTTAATATCTATGAACAGTACTAATCAAATGTTTTTAATTATTTTTCATTATTATTATATGTTATATATAACAACTAGCTTTTGCCCGCGGCTTCGCGCGTTAATTTATCCCCTTAGGGGTGGAATTAATCAAAATCCTTTCTTAGCGGATGCCTACGTCATAACATCTACCTGCATGCCAAATTTCAGCCCGATCCGTCCAGTGGTTTGGGCTGTGCGTTGATAGATCACTACGTCAGTCACCTTTATATATATTTATAGATTGTATATACATCAAATTAATATTTTTACATTTATATAATATAACAATATATTAACTATGTATTACTCTCTTAAATCTCAATAATATATATTTTTTTTATGTAAATATTTTGGCGCCAAAGTTATTTGAGTTTTTTTTATATGGACTAAGGGCAACGGAACAATATCAAAAGGTTATATTTATATTATTGAAATTAACAACAAATAATTGTCATTAATTAACAACATTAAATAAACAATTAATTTAGATAATATTAAAAGTGGGATATTTAACAGACAGTTTAGAGCAGAGGTTCCCAAAGTTTTTTGTGTCGTAGAAACCGTGCCATATTTTCGGGACTGGGACCCTGGGCATAAGCCACTTATTAATGTGAAGAGTTGTAAGGGGAGATCAATGTTTGTATGGAAGTATCATCATTGTTAAGGCTAGCAGCTTCACCCCCTGCTGCAAGCTGTAGATTAAACATAAATAAATATGACAGTCAAAGTTTGTAAAAAACTTACACTTAAGGGGGTAAAATAAAATAGGGGATGAAAATTTTTACCATCGCACAGCTCGCCATCGACAGGGAACTCATCCCCACACGCTGGAGTAAGACCCTGGACCTAAGTGGTCTCGGACAGTGCGGTTTCAGGGCAGCTTCCTCCCGCGTACACTTACATTATGCCGAGGTTTTCTCGAGTGACTACAGCATGGGGTTCTTCAAGAAGGGTATATTTAGGTTTCTTAAGGGTCGACAACGCGCACGTGACACCACTGGTGTTTCAGGCGTCCATAGGCTACGGTAACCGTTTACCATCAGATGGGCCGTATGTATAAGGTATAAAAATTTTTTACGGAAATTCGTCATTCGTCTATTCTACGAGAACGAAGTCGCGACCACACCTATTTATGATAATGTAATGCTGCACCCGCCTGCGCTGACGGTATACGCTGGAGGGGCACCAGTGGAGGATGATAAGAACATGAGGTCAGGTCAGTTAGCACATCGTGGTATATACATACATCACCAGTAGTTTATCACGATGGTTTTCAGGAAACAGAGGAAATGAAGTGTGATGTGATGGTACTCCTCACCACGATAATTGACCTGACCTCATACTCATCATCTATGTAGGTCGCAGTGTCACAGGTCTTAGCACCTGACAATAGCCCAAGACCCCAATAATGGCAGCCTCGGTGGTTTAGTGCTTTAGAAACCGCTTTACTATCCGATGGTCGCAGGTTCGATTCCTCGCACGGTACAAACATTTGTATTCATGAGTATGATTGTTTGTATCAGTCTGGGTGTTTTCTATGTATAATATGTATTTATTTACTAAAATGTATCCGTGTATTTACATCAGTTGGCTAGTACCCATAACACAAGCTCTGCTTACCGTGGGACTAGATGGCGATGTGAATTGTCCTGAGATATATTAGATGTATTATAATAAAAATAAAATTGTTTGGAATACGGTAGAAACTCAGTACCTCCTTTTTGGCTCTGCGCTGGCACTTCAAAGTCCAGCTCGGGGATCTTCACACTGGTGTAGTCACTCTTCACAACTTGACGGTTCAGATCTCTGTGGTCCACCACTCTCAGCTTCCATCTGCCAACAATACACAGTAACATGTAAGCGAAATCTGCTATGCAGATTTCTCTGGTCAGTTCAGGTTACACTGATTAGACTTTTTGTTTTTTGACATGTAAGAGAAATCTGCTATGCAGATTTCTCTGGTCAGTTCAGGTTACACTGATTAGATTTTTTGTTTTTTGACATGTAAGAAAAATCTGCTATGCAGATTTCTCTGGTCAGTTCAAGTTACACTGATTAGACTTTTTGTTTTTTGCAATATCATATGCTGGTGGTCACTCTATTCTCCCAAATTTGAATTTAAATGAATCTGTATTATTGTAAACATGTACAACATTTATTTGAAAAGAATACGAGCTGAGTTTCTTGTCAGTTCTTCTCATCTCGAAATCATTCCGAACTGATGGTAGACTTTGTTGGAAACTCCAACAAAAATAAGTATTATAAGCTCCTCAATTATTTATTTCATAATATTTAAATATAAAACGCTGTGTTCTTACATTGCGATTGTTATTTGTTTTATGTTCTTCTATATTTTAATAAATATATATATAATTACGATTTATTTACAATTTGGTGTTTTATACCAGGCAACTCATTGAGATTCACACAGACTGTAATAGAGCAAGAGCCCACGACGGCCAGACATAGGTCATTTCAGTAAACGTGAAAGTTGTATGTGTGTCCCCAACACAGGTAAGAACGATCCCCAAACATGAAACCTGGATCGTGGTTCCTTTGGCAGGTACCAGGTAACAAAGGTGTAAAAAAAATCATATCAAATTCGTTATTTTAAGAAACTCCATATTTTCATATATTGTTCGTAGCATTATCATAACTTGCGCTGCTCATTGCCAGACACTTAGTGTGGTTCCAACCCCTCGCCGGAACCCCCTAAACTATACTGTTTTAGAAATAAACTTACGTCATTTTAATAAAGCTGAACTTTATATATATTATCGAGAGAACTATTAAACTGACTATCCTAAATTGCCAGACAGTTTTCTTGGTTATATACGGTTTCAATGAGTCTGGTAGGATGAAGAACAATGGAACCACGATCCAGGTTTCATGTTTGGGGATCGTTCTTACCTGTGTTGGGGACACACATACAAGAACTTTCACGTTTACTAAAATGACGTATGTCTGGCAGTTGTGGGCTCTTGGGCTATAGCCCAAGAGCCCACAACTGCCATTCAAAATATCTGTATTCATATAGGTTTATTATAATAAACCTATATGAATACAGATATTTTGAATTTGAATATATACATATACCAGCTGTCCAGGCAAACATTGTTTTGCCTTAAAATAAAAAACAAATTTAGGGGTGGACTACCCCTAACATTTAGGGGAATGAAAAATAGATGTTGGCCGATTCTCAGACCTACTCAATTCGCTCATAAAATTTCATGAGAATCGGTCAAGTCGTTTCGGAGAAGTATGGGAATGAAAACTGCGACACGAGAATTTTATATATAACACAGCTAGTATACATATATTTTTATATATGCCTGTACCTCACCTCACCCCCGTCTCAGCGTACGCCCCTCCAGGCTGTATCTCATTGTTCTCGTAGCCACACTCCTCGCAGCTGAAGGACATGAGGACGACATTCTTGTAGTATGGTATTCTTGTGAGCAGCAGTCTCGTTAGACCCTGGAATTACAAGTTTTGTTACTGGAATCATCATCATTGCCTTGCCTTATTCCCATTATTTGAGGTTGGCGCAGTATGTCATTCTCTTCCACTGCTCTCTATTGGTCGTCATATCTGAACATGCTCTTTTGTTTTGTTACTGGAATAAAATTAAAATAATAATAGTAATATTATTTAGGGGCTGTTCAAGTATTATGTAAGCACTATAGGGGGCGGGGAGTCTAGATGATCAATACATCATCGGCAGTTATTTACTCTCTTACACAAATGGCAAATGTCTCTCTCGCATTGTCTTTTCTAAAAAACAATACATAAATTGAAAAATGTTTATGTAAGCATGGAGGGGGCTCCATATAAGCTCTTAAACTTTGTTTACTTTTACTGGCAAGGGGGATGGGGGGTAAATAATTGTAATAAATCTGCTTATGTAATAATTGAATACACAAAAATTGGAGTATCAATAGATGGTTACAGAGCTGTTTGTTATTCTTTCACAAAAAAACTACTAAAAGGATTTTCATAAAACTTTACAATATTATAGCTTATATCTTTGTTAATGTATTATATATATAACCATTACATAGTATAATATAAAAGTCCCTGTCGCTGTCTGTCCGTCCTTATGTATGCTTAGATCTTTAAAACTATACAACGGATTCTGAAGATGTTTTTCTGTAATGGTCAGTTGTTGCAGGTGAAGTAGGTGGTGGTGTGGAAGACAAGGGTGTCAGGTTTGAGGTCCGAGTCACTGGTAGACATGACTTCTCCCGGGATATACTCAAGGTGTGTGGTTAACAAGGTGGTCAGATATCATTACATAGTATAAAACAAAGTCGCTGTCGCTTTCTAAAATTCAAAAAATTCAAAATTCAAAACAACATTTATTTCAAAAAGCTATCTGGGTTTTACGAAAAAAATATATATGTATTAGTTTTAGTTGTCTAGTACCCATGACATAAGCTTTAGCTATCTTAACTTGGGTCTAGATGGCGCTGTGTGAATTGTCCTGAGATTAATATCATATACTGAGCAAAATGTGAGCATGTTTTGTGTATATTGTTGACAAACGGCTGTCTGTGACAACTCCATACAAGATAATAGTCATACAGGCATACTTTATGTATGTATGGCCACGCTAACTAGTTTCTAACCTAAAATAAACTTTGACATGTATTTCATCATAACATAGTATAAAGTGAAATCGCTTCTGCTGTTTGTCCGCTAAAATCTTTTAAACTACGCAACGGATTTTAATTTTGTTCTTAGCAGTAGATAGAGCAATTCAAGAGGAAGGTTTATATGTATAACACATGGATACCCGCGCAAAGCCGGGGCGGGTAGCTAGTAAAACATAAATTGTGATAGTTACATGTGAAAAGCAACAAACTTTTAAATTTACAACTAAGTATTTGAAGGTAATAAAATTTTAGTACATATTTTCATAGACTTATTTTAAGTAAGTAGGTATATATTGTTAAAAAAAATTGTGTTCGGCAATTTTCTAGAATGTTGTAAGTACTCACATTGGCATGGCAGTTAACACAAAATGATTCGATTTCGGTAACTTCAGGGTCTGGGTCCTCAGCAGTGAGGTCCCTAAAGACCGGCTTCTGATTTTCTGTACACATACTGTAAATATTCACAGAATTGCAAATAATAAATTCAATTTCCAAAACACTAACAAGAACAGAGGTTAATAATTTATTAAATAAGAATTGAATGAGTTGTTTTGGTTCAGTTTTTCCGTCACAATATTGAATGAATTTAAATGAATGAAATGAAAAATGAATGATTGACAGTTTAATAGTGTTGCCAACAAATTATGAAGATTTTTTTAAATTTTGCAGTGTTATGTCTCTGGATGTAAAGCCTTATAAGCCTAATGTGATAAATGAAAAATCTCTGTGACTGAAATCATAATCTACATCTTCCTTACCCCATTTATTTGGGTTTGGTGTAATATGACCGTACTAATTATAAATATTGTTTTCTTTTGTATATATATATTATTGTAATAGTGCAATAAATAATAATAAATAAACAAAATCCTTATCTGCTTCTTTCTTATTTGGGGTTCATGTAATGATTCTCTGTATACATCAGAATTTGATATTTATTTAGTTTCAGTTTAGTTTCTTAATAGAAAGAGGTTTAATTATGAAACGCTGTTGCAATATATTATTTATTAAAAACAGTATGAAGTTTGGCAAATGTATATGTGTAGTATTTGACAGTTGCAGTTGCGAAAAGCATAACTGAATTTAAAACTCTACAAAGACTCATCATAGAATGAAGTAAAGTTTATCTTAATTCCTACGTAGTAATGTTTATTTTTATTCGCTGAGCTCTATAAATCGCTGCTGAATCCTGACACATAATTTTTAAAGTAGGAAGATATCCGAAGGTCACAAACTCCCGTTTTCGTTACGGTGATGTCACTAAAAGAAATAAACATGACCTTGTGTCGAAATGATATTACGTCACGCCTTTATTTTTGTCGATTTAATATCTTCTCGTATTATACCGCCAAATTTAATAGGTCATTAAAGTTGCCAGTGTAGAACTTAATACGAATTATGTAATTTTTTAAACATGTTAAAATAACAATGGGTATTACTCGAGATCAATAGTGAAATACTAATGCAGGTTTTTCTTCTTATAAGCTTTTTTTAATTCAAATTTATTATTGTAGTACATTTTTGCCACTTATGAACGTTAAGTCTTTTTAATTAATATTTTTTCCTACCGTCCAATTCAGTGCATAGTTTCAATTGAGAGGAACTGGCAAAAAACTTAAGATATTTTCTTTCTTTTTGGCTAATTTATTTACAATGTATATTTATATAAGTCTCTATGTCTAATATTAAATGAAAATCCCGTGGATGAACAACTACTGCCATATATGTTTGTCATTTAAGAAATTCTGTGACTAAATATGTAATAAACTATCTAAGATGCTCACATTATTTGGTTGCTTCCTTTCCATTACTAATAGATTACAAGCTTTGTTCTATATTATTTATTTTTATATAGGTAGGTACCTGTGTATAGAAACTTATGTAGTTAAGTCCATTTTTGTAACTGTTTTTTTATTTGCACAATAAACTTATTATTATTATTTTATAGTAGTTAGCTATATGTGTTTTATTGTAAAAAAAATAATACACATTATACTGTAATATAATTTGAGACCAGAAGTCTCAAATTATATTACAGTAACCATTTAGTGTAATATATAAAAATATTTAAACAACTTCTAATTTCTATAAATACTTTTCAGTTAGGATAATCTATTTATAAAATATCTAAAAGAATTACTATTTAATAAACAGTATCTATTATACTGTAACCGATAAACGAGAAGCTTTAGATTTTATGCAATACTTATATGAATGTTTTATTACAATAAGTATATCAACAAATATTTGGATAGGTCACATTATAAGAGAAATGGACCAGAATAATAACAGAATGGTATCCACGAGACGGTAAAAGAAATAGAGGTAGACCGAAAGTAATATGGGAAGATGATATCAGGAAAACAGCCGGTCCAATATGGACTCGTAAAGCAAAGTACAGGACAGAATGGAAATCTTTAGAGGAGGCCTATGTCGGAAGACAAGCTGTACCGTTTCATCATCATCATCATCATCATCTGCTTCTTCCTTATCCCATTTATTTGGGGTCGGCGTAATATGTTTTTCGCTTCCATTCATTCCTGGTCGCAGTCATCTCGTTACTTACTTCCTTTCTTACCACATCATCTTTCACACAGTCCATCCATTTCTTTTTCGGCCTTCCTATGCCCTTATAACCATCCACATTCATATGTAACACCTTTCTTAAAATATTATCCTCGTTCCTACGCATTACATGTCCATATCATGATAGACGATTACTCTTCAACCTCTCTAACACCGCTGTCACTTTATTGTTGTACCGTTTATCGATAATAATATTAACCAAATGTAATTTAGTATAGCAATAAGGGCTTTTTATTTTTGTTTTATTTATTTATTATATCAACAAATATATAACAATTATAAGTTTAAATAAATGCTAAGTATTAATAATTTGTTACATTTGCGTGCCTGGACAAGTGAACATAGGGTTCATACTAATCTAAATATACTAATTGTAAACACTTGAGATATAAATTTTGTGAAGTATTGAATATTTAAGTAAATATCATTATCAACCACTATTATCAAATACATGTGTACATTCAATCAAGATTATTCTGGCAACACTAACACACTCTCCGTTTTGTTATGATGCCATTTAATTTATCCGTGTAAAATCAAATTATTCCCGCCTCGCGTTTTCATTTGAATCAGTATAGCCAAACTACACCGGTCAGTGATCGTCAAGTACTTATTTTACGTAAAATTAAACTGTGATTTAGTGTAATATTTATTTTGGGAATACCTTAAATATAATGTAAGTATTATAAATATATAGTCTTTTGCCTTAATCGATATAAAAAAGTATTTACCTTTACAGATTTTTTTTTAAAATAAAAAAAAGCTGTTTGATATAGCTGTGTACGTACGTGGAATACAAACCGATTTTAAAAATGAATCGAGAAATCTAACAATTTAATTTTTTGCAATAACTAGTTGAATCGTAGTTATTATAAACGCGAGTTTTTATAAGTTTGCGACTATGAATGAATAGATGGATGAATGGATGTTTGTTACTCTTTCACGAAAAAACTACTGAACGTATTTTGATTAAACTTTACGGTAATATAGCTTATAAATACAACAATAGGATAAGTAAATTCTTTCAATAAATAAATTGATTTTATTTATTGAAACGTTTTCTGTAGGTAAATAATAATTCCTTACGTTTATTGAAATGGAATCGTTTGTTTGTGATACGAGTAATATAAAACATAATTTTTATATTCTAGATGTGTTTTATATTATAACCGTTATTTGAGAAATTACAAATTCCTTTGCCGTCTGCGTAATAGAGAAAAAAAAGACTTACTTTTTTTTACTGTTCTGTTTATCCTTCAAAGGAATAGCAAAGGGAACTGCGCCCATACAGCCATATTTGCATGTATAAATTTCATATTTTTTAATTTGACGCATCATTATTTACATAAAAAATTAAAAAAATAACGGGATTTTGTCACGTAATATTTATACTATTTAGTTTATGATATTGAATAATGAATAAAATGTACGAACATGCCGTAATTATCTTAAATTTCGCGTTTATCTTATTTACTTAGATTTTGTGTTTGTGATAACCAGTCTATATGTTGTTTGCTGGACCTCCAGTCAATTTGCTTATCAACATAGTAAGTATATTAGAAGCAGGAGCTCGTGTGTCGGTGTATCTATATATACCATTACATAGCATAAAACAAAGTCGTTGTCTGTCCGTCCCTATGTATGCTTAAATCTTTAAAATTACGTAACGGATTTTGAAACGTTTTTTTTTTAAATAGATAGAGTGATTCAAGAGGAAAGTTTATATATATAATACATGTACACCCGTGCGAAGCCGTGGCGAGTACACTACAATTTTATTTAAATATAACTAGTATATTTAAATAAAATTGTAGTGTCTGTTTGTAATATTGTAATAACCGTTTTTACTACATGCATATGAATAAATACGGTACGTATGTACACCAAAATAACAATTTTACAATTTTAGTTTGTCTGTCTGTTTGTTCCGGCTAATCTCTGAAATGGCTGCACCGATTTTGATGGGACTTTTATTGACAGGTAGCTGATGTAATGAGGAGTAAATTAGGCTACTTTTATTTTAGAAAATGAAAGTTAAATTCCACGCGGACGAAGTCGCGAGTACAGCTAGTATAAATATATAAATGTATAGGATGTCGGTCGGTATAGCGGTGTCGTGAGGCAAGGTTAACCGGTCACATTACAGTTAAATACATGTGCTAACTATGACATCATTTTCTATCATCTTTATATCGTACGACCCCGGTGGTCAAGCGGTTTAGCATCGCCTTACTTCCTATGGTCGCGGGTTCGATTCCTCGCACAGTGCAAACATTTGTATCCATAAGTTCAAACTTGTTTGCGATGGGCCGGGTCGATGTGCTCCCTCTAATATGGTTGAGTGCAATGATGGCTGGCTCATACGTCATACTCGTGAACGGGTGCTGCTTGTGGGGACTGGTCTGTTCAGTTTGCGAACACTGATTAGATTTTCTGTTTTGTTTTTGCAATATCATATGCTGGTGGTCATTCTGTTCTCACAAATTTGAATTTAAATGAATCTGTATTATTGTAAACATGTACAACATTTATTTGAAAAGAATACGAGCTGAGTTTCTTGTCAGTTCTTCTCATCTCGAAATCATTCCGAACTGACGGTAGATTTGACATATCATAAGAGTCTGTAATAGACCTACATGAATAAAGAAATTTCGACTTTGAATTATTTTTGTTTCTATCGGTCTGGGAGTTTTCTATCTACGTGTATCATATATGTATTTATAAAAAAAACTAAGTATTTACAGCAGTGGTCTAGTACTCATAACACAAGCTCTGCTTACCGTGGAACTAGATGGCGCTGTGTTAATTGTCCAGGGTTATTTATTTATTTATATCAGTTGTCTAGTACTCATAACACAAGCTCTGCTTACCGTGGGACTAGATGGCGCTGTGTTAATTGTCCAGGGTTATTTATTTATTTATATCAGTTGTCTAGTACCCATAACACAAGCTCTGCTTACCGTGGGACTAGATGGCGCTGTGTTAATTGTCCAGGGTTATTTATTTATTTATATCAGTTGTCTAGTACCCATAACACAAGCTCTGCTTACCGTGGGACTAGATGGCGCTGTGTTAATTGTCCAGGGTTATTTATTTATTTATATCAGTTGTCTAGTACTCATAACACAAGCTCTGCTTACCGTGGGACTAGATGGCGCTGTGTTAATTGTCCAGGGTTATTTATTTATTTATATCAGTTGTCTAGTACCCATAACACAAGCTCTGCTTACCGTGGGACTAGATGGCGCTGTGTTAATTGTCCAGGGTTATTTATTTATTTATATCAGTTGTCTAGTACCCATAACACAAGCTCTGCTTACCGTGGGACTAGATGGCGCTGTGTTAATTGTCCAGGGTTATTTATTTATTTATATCAGTTGTCTAGTACTCATAACACAAGCTCTGCTTACCGTGGGACTAGATGGCGCTGTGTTAATTGTCCAGGGTTATTTATTTATTTATATCAGTTGTCTAGTACCCATAACACAAGCTCTGCTTACCGTGGGACTAGATGGCGCTGTGTTAATTGTCCAGGGTTATTTATTTATTATATATGTGGTAGCGGCCCGTCCACAATGTAAGAGTACGTAGGAGGAAGCTCGTTTGAAACCGCACTGTCCGAAACCACTTAAGACCATTTACACTCAGCCCGAGTGGGCAGGGAAGTGACCAGCGCGATACTTCCCATGCCATTGCCGCTGCCACTCGCGCTGCCCGGCGCTCCCTCGATTGTCCGTTTTTCGTGCGCGAGTCAAAGGACTGGCAGCGCGAGTGGCAGCGTGTGTTTACATTCAGCCCTCTCGCTCAGTTGTCGCCCGTTGTGTTAAGGTAACGAAGAGTCGCCCGGTAAATAAGTATGAGGGCTGAGTGTAAACGACACTCACTCGCGTCAACGCTGACGCGGCAATATTTCCGGCAGCGCGAGTGGCAGGGGAAGCAGCTGAATGTAAACGTAACATTAGGTTCTAGCGTCATCATCTGCTTCTTCCTTATCCCATTTATTTGTGGTCGTCGTAATATATTTTTCTCTTCCATTCATCCCTGTTCGCAGTCATCGCGTTATTTACTTCCTTTCTTACCATATCATCTTTCACACAGTCCATCCATCTCTTTTTCGGCTTTCCTCTGCTCTTATAACCATCCACATTCATATGTAACACCTTCCTTAAAATATTATCCTCATTCCTACGCATTACATGTCCATACTATGATAGTCGTAGTAAAATTAGGATCTAGCGTGTGGGGATGAATTCCCTGTCGATGGCGAGCGGTGAATGGTAGGTGTAGGCATCATGTTGAACAATTCCTCAGAACAGTGCCCATTTTTTTTTAATTATTCTAAAGTAGTGGATAGTTTATGAGGTATGCATACAGTAAACAGAATGATGTCACCATAACGTGTGTATTTACATAATTTATTCTTATGGCAAGGTTGAGACACTTCAGTATTCGTGTACCGGTATCATTTTTAGCAATTATTTAGCGTTAAGTTACTTCATATCGTAGTTGTATGTAATTTGTCTATATATGTGTATGTATATATATATAATTATATAAGCTAGTCGCCCCGGCTTCGCCCGGATGTACAGGTATCTAAATATATATAACTCAAAGGTGACACATAGTGATCTATCAACGCACAGCCCAAACCACTGGACGGATCGGGCTGAAATTTGGCATGCAGGTAGATGTTATGACTTAGGCATCCCCTAAGAAAGGATTTTGATAAATTCCACCCCTAAAGGGATAAATTAACGCGAGCGAAGCCGCGGGCAAAAGCTAGTTACACATATAAACCTTCCGCTTGCATCACTCTATCTATTAAAAATAACCTCTTCAAAATCCGTTGCGTAGTTTTAAAGATTTAAGCGTACATAGGGACGGACAGACAGCGACAGCGACTTTGTTTTATATGTAATGATGTGTGTAGTCAAAATATGTAATTTGTATATATATGTAGTTATTTTATATCACTTCTTACTATTTATTATTGATACACCTCGACCAGACTTAAGTCAGTAACTTCTCTCCATACTCAAGTTGCCTGGAAGAAATCGCTTTACAGCGAGGCGGCCCATTATTGCCTCTTCCCAAATTCAAATTCAAAAATCATTTATTCATGTAGGACATTTTAGCCGCTTATTTATATATTTATCTATTAAAGGAAAACCAAGGCTATTCAAGTACATTTTAAATAAAATCAATATGTACGTTATAATAATTGGACGACCTCGGTGGTCCAGCGGTCTAGTACACCGCTTTACGACCGATGGTCACGGGTTCGATTCCTCGCACGGCACAAACATTTGTATTCATGAGTATGATTGTTTGTATCGGTCTGGGTGTTTTCTATTATATAATATGTATGTATTTACAAAAAAAAAATATCTATGTATTTGTATCAGTTATCTAGTACCCATAACACAAGCTTTAGCTACCTTAACTTGGGTCTAGATGGCGCTGTGTGAATTGTCCTAAGATTATTATTATTATTATTAATAAGCCACTGACATATGAACGTCAAGTTTTACATTATAATGTTTCCCTTTGAGTATGTTGTATGTTTATACATATTTATATATTAATAATAATGTATATAAATGTTTGTTTAAGAGGGAACAAGAAAAAAAAATCATTTTACTTCTCTAATAATACTTTTTTTTGTGATAATGAAATTATACACCCTCTTGTGCTAACGGTTTACGCTGGCGGGGCACCAGAGGATAATATGAGCATGTCAGGTCAGTTAGCCCATCGTGACAAATTCACCTGTAATTTATCATGATGGCTTCCAGGGGGAACCGCGTGGAGGTCAACCTGACATGGTACATTGATAGCAATGGGGTCAAGAGTCCACATTACTAACAATCCCCTCTCTAATAATACTAGAATAGAATACGAAATCATTTATTCAAATAAACTTACATTGAAACATTTTTCAATAATCTCAGGGAGGGGGGGGGGGGAAGGGCCAGCGTAAACCGTTAGCGCAGGCGGGTACACCGTACCATCATAATCCATAAAAAAAAATAGTATAGCACAAGAGAATTAGTATGGCTGCTAGAGAAGCCATTTTGTTTTTATTTTCCCGCGCAAACGTACCGCGGTGTTAATATATTATTACAATTTCTTAGTTATCCCCGTTCCCATAAAAGACCCATTGACTTTTCTAAACGATACATAGAAACAGCAAGTTTGTCTTTCAATCTAGTTTAATGTTATGAATACTTTAATCAGACTAGGCTTCTAATAACCTAAAAAATTAAGTGATTAAAAAAATAAACATGCGAGCTTGGTGTATTACGTAAACGACATGGCAACTGATCACATTTAGTGCGTGACACACTTGACCTTATGACGTCACCGTTAAAAAAATAATAACATTTAGATTTCGCGCCATTATTACGAATGACAAATCGGATCGGATTTTTTTTTATTTTATTTTTTTAATTTCGGACCATAATCCTTTCTTAGCGGATGCCTACGTCATAACATTTACCGGCATGCCAAATTTCAGCCAGATCCGTCCAGTGGTTTGGACTGTGCGTTGATAGATCACTATGTCAGTCACCTTTGAGTTATATATATATATATATATATATATATATATATATATATATATATATAGAATATATTATATTGTTAATTGTTACAGACAATGGGCAAAGATGACAAAGAAGAAACCGGCTTCGGATTCAAAGACAAAGCTAAAGCTGAAGAGACACTGAAACTTCTAGAACAGCATGAAATGAACTACCGAAGATTGACCGTGCGTGGTTTGCTGGGGCGAGCGAAACGGGTGCTCTCCAGTCAGTATTTTGTTCCTTTATTTAGGCAAATTTTGTTAGTTTATAGACAAATCTAGGCATGTGCACAGTAATAATCTGCAAATTTTGCGAATCTAAAGAAGACACGCCACTACACATCCTATGTGGTGATAGCCCACTCATGCTTAAATGAAATATCTCCTTTGGAAAGTACACTCTATATCCTGACGGTACAAAACCATAGCTCCTGAGAAGTTTATATACAATGTATATTTATATAGGTGTCTATGTCTAACATTAAATGAAAATCCCGTGCATGAACAACTATTGCCATGCACGCTCGTCATTCAAGTAATCGTTTAGTGAGTAATAGGCCTTGCTCAGTAAATATGATTTAACAGATGTTTTGAATTTATTTAACGGTAATTCCAGTCTATCTTTTGGTATCTTATTGTAAATTTTTATATCTATTCCCATAAAAGACCTATTGACTTTTTCCAATCATTTTATTTATTTATTAGTATTGAGTAAGTACTGTGTTAATTATTGTGAAATATTACTATTATATTTAATAAATTAAATTGAACGTTGAAATGCATTCTTACATTGCAGTGACGAAGGCAGAAGACAAAATAAAGAATATAAAAGAAGCAATGGAAGTGTTCGAGAATTGGCTCGCAGACTTAGACAAGAACAAAGAAAAGAAGACTGAGAAGAAGGAAGAGAAGGCGGAATCGAATAAAAAAGAGACGGAAGAGAAAAATGGAGATGATAAGGCAAGTATTGTACTGATGAGTCATCTATTAGAAAATGGTAAACAATATGGAAATACAGTAGTATATTAATAACATTCAAGAATCATTTATTCATGTAGGACATTTTAGCCGCTTATGAACGTAAATTTTTTTATATTATAATTTTTCTCTACCGTCCAGTTCAGTATATAGATTCAATTGAGAAGAACTGGCAAGAAACTCAATTGAATTACTTTTTTTGTTTAAAACCAGTTTATTTACAATGTATATTTATATAGGTGTCTATGTCTAACATTAAATGACAATCCCGTGCATGAACAACTATTGCCATGCACGCTCGTCATTCAAGTAATCGTTTAGTGAGTAATAGGCTTTGCTCAGTAAATATGATTTAACAGATGTTTTGAATATATTTAAGGGTAATTCCAGTATATTCTTTAGTATGTTATTGTAAATTTTTATACTCATTCCCATAAAAGACCTATTGACTTTTTCTAAACGATGCTTGGGGACAGCAAGTTTGTCTTTAATTCTAATTTTAATATTATGAATGTTTTTTTATAATAAGTGAAGATTTTTATGAACATATTTGAATATATAAATTGAGAAGCAACGGTGAGAATATTTGCCTCTTTGAGTTTCTCTCTTAATGAGTCACGTCTCCTCATACAGTACATCGCTAAAATAAATGTTAAAAAATGCTTTACACATTATAAATGAGTATCGTTACGTTTCCAGGACTCGGAATCTGATGAAGAGATGGAAGAAAAACCGAAAGAGAAGAAGGATGTGCCAGCAGACACCGTTCCTGGTCTCGGCTTCAAGGATAGGGATACTGCAGATGGTACCTTAAAGGAATTGGAGGGGAGAGACCCTGATTACCAGAAGTTAGCTGTGAAGGGACTGATTGGGAGGGCGAAGAGAGTTCTCACATGTAAGTCGTAAATAATATAATAATAATAATAATAATCTCAGGACAATTCACACAGCGCCATCTAGTCCCATGTTAAGCTAGCTAAAGCTTGTGTTACGGGTACTAGATAACTGATACAAATACATAGATCATTTTTTTTCGTAAATACATATTATACATAGAAAACATCCAGACCGATACAAACAATCATACTCATGAATACAAATGTTTGTGCCGTGCGAGGAATCGAACCCGCGACCATCGGACGTAAAGCGGTGTGCTAGACCGCTAGACCATCGAAGTCGTCAAAATGAAGTGAATGAAATGAAACGAATATGGCAATACCTGCAGTGGACACTGCAAGCATGTGCTTAACATGGCGATTAGACCTTAGCTTAACATCAATCTGCCAGATTTTGCCAAACAGAAGAGGAAACGCCACTACACACCCTGTGTGGTTGTAGCCCACTCATGTATAAACGAAATATCTCCTTTGGAAAGTATACACTATCCTGAGGAGATAAAAACCATCGCTCCTAAGAATATCCTTCAATTCTTGTCCCTGACGGGTCTAGGTAGCGAACTTTGAAAAAGGGGGAGCACAATAGATTTTTTTTTTATATCATAATTTGAGCGCGTTTGACCGCAATCTCACCTGATGTTAAGTGATGATGTGGTCTAAGCTGTTACACGCAAGCTCAAATAATACCTATTCACTCTTGACTTAAAAGACCCAATGTTGTAAGAGGCAGGAAAAATAGACGCTGGTAGAGAGTTCCACTCCTTAGCTGCTCGCATAAGGAAAGATGATGCAAAACGGTTAGTTCGAGCAGCTGGGATGTCAATAGTGTAGGGGTGGAGCCGCTCTCCACGTCTTGTTGTACGTTGATGGAACGGTGCTGGAGGAATGAGGTTGTGCAGTTCTTGAGCACATTCGCCAAAATGGAGCCTATAGAGCACCGATAGACAAGCTACTTTACGTCGGTGATTAAGACTTTGAAGCCTCTTAGCTACAAGTGATTCGTCCCCGATAAGTCTCCTTGCTCGTCTGTCGATTGCGTCTAGAGCGTCAAGTTGGTACTGAGCGAATCCATCCCATAAGTGGGAACAATACTCCATGCAAGATCGGACCTGTGCTTGGTATAGCGTTAAAAGCTGTCCAGGCGTGAAGTATCTCCTAACCCTTGAGAGGACGCCCAGTTTTTTTGATGCCGTTTTAGCTCTAGATTCAATATATGCCCCCAAATTTAGGTTGGATGATATTGTTAAACCTAGAAGATCGAGATGGTCAGAAACCGGGACAGATGCATTTCGAAAAGTTGGAGATAGGTTAAAGGGGTTCTTTTTTGTGGAAAAAAGACAAGCTTGGGTTTTTGTTGTTTTAGATCTATATAGGTCGCAGTGTTACAGGTCTTAGCACCTGACAATAGCCCAAACAACCCAATAAAAAAATATAGACATTTTAACCCCTTATGAAACGGTAAGGCATGAAGCCTTACCGTTCTTAAGGACAATTGACTTTTAGTTGCCTTATCCTATCCAAAAGAAAAAGAAAGATTCAAATCGTTGCATAGTATAAAACAAAGTCGCTGTGTAGCGACTTTGTTTTATACTATGCAAGGCTTCATACCTTACCGTTTCATAAGCGGTTAAAATGCCCTACATTTATAATTTTTTAATTTGAATCCCACGCAGGTACACGCGACGAAACCAAGCTATCAAAGAGGCAATACCATATTCGAGAAGTTTTTGGACGATTTTGACACTTTGCATCTGAGTAAACAGAACAACTCCTTAAAGTCAATTGTCCTTAAGAATCGTAAGGCTTCATGCCTTACCGTTTCTTCCGTTTCATAAGCGGCTAAAATGTCCTACATGAATGATTTTTTAATTTGAATCCCACGCAGGTACACGCGACGAAACCAAGCTATCCAATATCAAAGAGGCAATATCCATATTCGAGAAATTTTTGGACGATTTTGACACTTTGCACCTGAGTAAACAGAACAACCCGTATGTAAGCCTGGGCATTGTCCGGACAGCTGTTAAATCTGCTGGCGAGAACGTAACTGAACAACAGGTACGTGGTTTTTTTAATATCTTACTCTATACATATAAATAAAATTGGAGTGTCTGTTTGTAATATTGATATAACCGTTTTTTACTACATGCATATGAATATAAATACGGTACATACACCAAAATAACATTTTTTATAATTCTGTCTGTCTGTCTGTCTGTCTGTTTGCTTCGGATAATCTCTGAAATGGCTGGACCGATTTTGACGAGACTTTTTTTGGCAGGTAGCTGATGTAATAAAGAGTAACTTAGGCTATTTTTATTTTAGAAAAATAAAGTTAAATTCCGCTAGTTACAGTTACAGTACAGATAATACAGCTAGTTAACAATTAAAAAAATGTGAGAAATAAGATTTTTCAACGCGGTCTTCAAATTGTTAATTCACGTTCATGTATATAAACGACTGTTACCACAAACCATCAAGTGGGCCAAAAGCCTGTTCGCCAATTCCAGTTACATAAAAAGATTATTTAAAAAATCGACTAACACCAGTTACCATTTTTTTTTTTTTTACTTGGAGAAAATCCCTCATGGAGACCCGCCGGCCCGGGGGAAGCCCGCGGGTACTGTGAGACTCCTACTCACTAAAAACTCCAAGATGTCCCTCACCCAACGCCATATGCCGGAGTCGCGGGATCGATAACATTCAACCGCGACTCCGACGGCGGTGGCCCACTCTACAGCGGGCCCCATCTCTGCGGGTTCCCTATGGAACCCACCACTTCCCCCGTCTTCCCTGGGGAAGGCGCGCGGGGACATGCGCGCGACTTCTTCGGGCCTAGTGTGGAGGGGTGGGACCGCCCCCGCGGTCGTCACCCCGGCCCGGTAGCGATCTAGGGGCGGCCTGGGCCGCCCCTGCCTCCTTGATTGCTGGGAGGGGAGGTGTCCATGCCCTCCTCTGCACCACTCCTACGGCCTGGGGCCTGTGAGGCGGGCCGTTTCCCTCTCTTACTTTTGGGCGGGGTGCACTTCTTTCTCCCCACCCAATAACACCAGTTACAAATATATAATATAAATTGCTGTGTGTGGCACAATAAGCTGACTCCGCTACCGGGAACAGCAAACTACCAAGAATACCGACACCTAACTTACATAATTGATTGTTGCATTTAGGACAGTTTTGTTCGATCATTATACATAATTATACATTTGTACTTTGATAATTTTATTGTTTTAATTAAATAAAATATATTTTTTAAAACGCAAATATCGCCCGCCGTAACATAAGTCACCATATACACATATTTTATACAAGTTTCTTGCTCATTCTTCTAGTGATGAATCTGCATTCCGAATGAGTGGTAGAATAAAAATATGACTATTCAAAAGTGCTCGTAATGAGTTTATTTGAATAAAGATTATTTCTATTTCTATTTTTATACAATCACGTTGGCCAAAAACCGTTTTTCCAATAGAATAGAATAGAATAGAATAGAAAATCATTTATTCAAATAAACTTAATTTAAGCACTTTTGAATAGTCAACATTTTTTTAAATCTACCGCTTATTCGGAAAGCTGTCTCATCACAATAAGAATAAGCAAGAAACTTGTGTGTTGCTCTTTTAAACAATCCTTGTAAGTTCACATTTTACAAGTCGAAACGTGTGAATACAAACTACCAACCAGCACTAATTTATTTAGGCTCAAATATAAAAACACAATAAGATTAAATCAGTCGGTCCAATTCCAATTATTAAAAAAAATATTTATTACAGAGATCATTTATAGCTGCATACTCGTCCGTGAATGGTGAATACAAGAGGTTGAGAACAGTCCAAGACGAACAAACGGGTAAGACGTGGGATATCGTAAGGAATGCTGCACTGAAGACACTCAAGGAAAAGGTAGATAAATAATAATTTTTATAATTACTGAGCAAGTGTATGTCAACCCTAACTTTGTTTATAATTTAAATACATATAACTCAAAGGTGCCTAACATAGTGATCTATCAACGCACAGCCCAAACCACTGGACGGATCGGGCTGAAGTTTGGCATGCAAGTAGATGTTATGACGTAGGCATCCGCTAAGAAACGATTTTGATTAATTCTAACCCGAAGGGGATAAAATAGGGGATGAAAGTTAGTATGAAACTTTGTCAATTTCAAACCGATCGGGCTGAGACTTTGCATACATAAAGCTACTATGACGTAGGCATCTCCTAAGAAAGGATTTTGATGAATTCCACCCCTAAGGGGATAAATTAACACGGGTAAAATCTAGTGTGTATATATAAATTGTAGCTACCCCCCCGGCTTCGCACGGGTGTTATAAATATAAACCATCCTCTTGAATCACTCTATCTATTAAAAAAAACCGCTTCAAAATCCGTTGCGTGGTTTTAAAGATTTAAGCATACATAGGTACGGACAGCGACAGCGACTTTGTTTTATACTATGTAATGATGACTAGCTCTGCCTGCGACTACTACATGGAATAGTAACTTTGACAAAATAAAGAATCTAACCCAAAAAAAGACAAAGAAAAAAGTTTCATCGTTCTAGCTTCAAAATGACGAATTTCTATGCAAACTTTCATCCCCTATTTTATTTCACCCTTAGGGGTGAAATTATTACAATCTTTCAATGTCATATTTATTTATATTTAATTAACAACCGCAATAAATAAGTTTCAAGCTTCGAGCTTTAAAAATTCCATACAACCTTTCATCTACCCAAACGGAAAAAGGGTAAGGGGTTGAAAAGGGTTCAACCCCTACATCCCCTTTTTAGTTTGTGGGTTGAAAGGATATAATAAAAATAAAAGATATACAAGATAATACATACAAAGAAAAAACAACCATTCGTTAAAAGAAGTATTGTTAAATTTCAGCACGCCGACGCAAAACTATTCAACGAGAAAGATGAACCTACCAGCGAGCATCTAGAATTACTTTTATGGGCTTATTCACCAGAAGCGGCGCGCGTAAAAAAAGTCGTGCCAGAGACAAAGGAAGAGAAGCAAGATGGAGATAGGAAACGGCGGGCTAGCGACCGAGACAGCGAGTCGCCGAGTAAAAAGAAAAAAGAATAATGTAATGATAACCTGTCAAAATTGGCGGCAAAAACAAGATCAATTGGCTAATGGCAACACAAATCGCCAGAGCCAAACCAGAAAAAAAAACAAGATCAATCTACCTAAAATAGGCTGTATGGTCTAGAAATCTTAGCCTATCTTATAGGCGGTGTTGCCATGTTCAAAACACGAAACCAGAGACAATGAAGCAACTAAGTTTTTGCGCGCAATATTTGCCAGTTGCATACAATACACTGGAGTAGCTTACTCGAATGTACTGTATGCAAGTAGTCTAGGCGGATCCAGCTTTGGCGCCAGGAGGGGGTCACATAGTCGTGGTCAAATCAAGAACTTATAATTATATTTTGATCACAATAGACACAAGTAAAAAGTAGATATTTTATTAATGTACGTAAATACTGTACTTAAAGATATTAATAAAATCTGTATGGTGACAAAATATATAAATAAAATTATTATGTTCAATTAGTGGTCCACCTAAGTCCTGGGCTCAGGGGGGTCATGACCCCCACGACCCCCTGGATCCGCCATTGTTGTTATATTGTCATAGAGTATTCCATATGTAAAATACAGCGCAAGTGATCAAGTTATTTGTCGATTTATGCATTTGTCTATTTTAAATAAAATGTCGTTTTGGGATAATGTTTTTCATTTGTACTTAGTTAAGCCGTTTAGATATTAACTACTCGCCCCGGCTTCACACGGTTGGAAATGTATTATACATATAAATATTCCTCTTGAATCACTCTATCTATTTAAAAAAATCGCTTCAAAATCCGTTGCGTAGTTTTAAAGATTTAAGCATACATAGTGGCGGACAGACAGCTACAGAAACTTTGTTTTATACTAATAATTTACTTAACTTGTAGACTTCAGTTACCTATATAACCTATTATATATTTAATAAATAATAGGTTATTATTATTACAAAGAATCACATCTCTTTTTTTTTATTTTACTGCAATTATATTTTTCATTCACCATGACACTACACTAAGAAACGCTCGAAAAGTCTTTCCGCGGGTTTGGAGTGCAATTCCCACTATATTTATTGGTTCCTATGGCGAAGCTGTCACAAGGCCTGCTGCGACCATCAACTTTAGAAAGTTCGAAAAATTAAAAAGAAACCGTTTCTTCCAGATAACTCGAGTTAGCACATCTCTAATGTACACTACTACTAGTGATGTACAATCACTTGACATAATCTATCCGTCGAGATACGCATTGGATTTCAGAAATATGTAACTTGTCGCTTATTCAGCTAACATTCTTTTAACTAAAAAAAAAATGATGAAATCCCGCCATTTTTTACTTTTGTTTGAAATAAAAATGTTATAAGAATTGAATATATTATGCTTAACTGGCCGCTAATAAAGCAAATATATTCTTTTAACTAAAAAAAAAGAAAATGAAAGCCCGCCATCTTTTGTTCTTGTTTGAAATAAAAATGTCATAACAATTAGACATATTATGCTCCACTTTATCAAGTTACAAAATTATTTATACCTACACACGTTATAGAACAGTTCTGGAAAATTACTCATCGGAGATGCAGTCTGTGTTTACTGTTAATACAAACTATTTCGCGAGTGGAGTTTGTCATTCTGAAAGATGCTGACTCCATTTTCCTGGCATCCTGACGTCTTCTACCTGGACCCGGGTTTGCATTATTCTTTAACAGTATTCTGTATTGGATTGCAGGTCGGTGGGTACTAATATTGTATGGGTACTTTATAGATATATATTTGTGGTAGGACGCCCTGTAGGCAGGGGCGGATCTACCTAATCTTTTTGGGCTGCAACCCAGGGCCCCGATGATACAAAAAGCCCCCAGTTCCCACTAAAACGATATTTAGAATATAAAATAAATATCTAGAAAGGTCAATCAACTCGTGTAAGTGCGCGTCTATCGAAAGAAATTTCTAGTCGCTTGTTTATGGTGTATTTTTTTAGTTGAGTAATATAATTAGGTAGACTCCTAAGTAAATTTAGCCCAGGGCCCCACAAATTCACGATCCGCCCTTGCCTGTGGGTCCAGTTAAGATTATTTTATTTATTTTAAAACATACAAATATTGTAAAGTTGATTATTAGACCCCGCACTAGGCGATCCTTCATCGCGGGAGTCCATAAAAGTATTGCCAGATGATTAATAACTAACTAAAGTAGAGTAGATTTGACATATCATAAGAGTCTGCAATAGACTCAAACCAAGGAAGAATTTACTTTGATTTTATAAAAACATTCCAAATTTATTGTACACTAGCTTTTGCCCGTAGCTTCGCTCACGTTAATTTATTGCCTTAGGGGTGGAATTAATCTTTCTTAGCGGATGCCTACGTCATAGCATCTACCTGCATGCCAAATTTCAGCCCGATCCGTCCAGTGATTTGGGATGTGCGTTGATAGATCACTGTCAGTCACCTTTGAGTTATATATATTTAGATGGATTACAAAAAAATTAAATACGAAGTATAAAAAGACACTCGTCATAATTTTTAATCACTATGATACGCTTCCGAGACTGTGAACAGTCATCATCATCATCATCATCGCAGCCCGGAAGACGTCCACTGCTGAACAAAGGCCTCCACCAATGATCTTCACGACGATCGGTCCTGCGCTGCTCACAGCCATCTGTAAACAGTATAAAAATAAAATTGCAATCATAAATGAACCCACAAAAATTCAGGTCTACAAACTATTTGGACCTATATAGGTTGGGAGAAGGGATAGCTAGCAATATGAGTCTATTGCTAACTACGTTTCCACCAGATCAACCTTCACGCGGTCTGCCCTTCAAATTATCATGGTTAAATCTTGATAAATACCCCACGATGGGTTAACTAACCAATAAAGTTAATTAAATACTATAATTTAAGTAACTGAATAACAAGAATTATAATATTTTTATCAATTAGTAAATAAACTTGCATAATCAAGCAATCAATTGGATAAAAAATCACTAAAAAGCAATTGTCTAAACGTAGTGATTATTTACTCATACTTGATTTTCTATATGGCTAAAGAATCCTAGTGGGCAACACAGAGAGTGTTCCAGTGAAGTAGTAAAACAATAATTTTGTTCCAGCATTCTGATTGGAATTATATTTTTGACATATTAAAATAGTCAACATAACTTTTTCCAATTTAATATTTGCTGCAATCGTTAATGTAAAATTTGGAACTTTCAATGATTTATTTAATATTTTTAGACAGAGTACAGTACAGATATAAAAAAGTCATTTGATATATAATCACGTTTCCGTTAGAACAATCGAACGAAACACGACGCGTAACCGAAACATACCGCCATAACTTTGTAAACACAGAGTCCATTGAACTCGTTACATTTTCTAACAAATATAAATACGATTTCATAAATCATCAATTAAAACAACATCTACAAGTGTTCGTTGTGCGTGTGAAGCCATTTATAAGCAATATTCATTTGTACATCAATAAATTTTGTGACTTTACAAATTGGGCGTATGACACCGCCTTCATACGGCTCTTATTAAACAGTTTTGAATGTTATATTCGTGTAAAATGTGTTTTAATAATGAGTAGTGACGATTAATTACTATTCAACAACGATATTAAGATTATTACAATTTAACAAGTAAGTCGATGTGAATTAGTTATATATTTATTTTATTTTTAAAAAAACCTAGTCTATTGATAGTATTTTTTATTAATAATTGTACAGGCTAAGGTATTTACATATACAGTTTTATCATGTGTTTATTAAATATTTAAATGTTTATTTTATTTTTTAAAGAGCTAGTCTATTAATAGTATTTTTTTATTAATAAGTGAACAGGCCAAGGTATATACATATACAGTTTAGTCATGTTTAATAAATATTTATTTTGTCTTTTAAAGGGCTAATCTATTAATACTTATATTTTATTAATAAGTGACGAGGCTAAGATACATACACATACAGTTTAAACATGAGTTTATTAAATATTTATTGTATTTTTTTAAAGCGCTAATCCATTAAAAGTAATAATTCTTTCATAATTTAAGAGGCCAAGGTATATATATATAGTCTTAATCTAATAGTAATGTTAAAAATTGTAGAGGCCAACTTGTACATAATGTTTAATCATATGAATTGATGTCCTGACTTGAAATGGCTTATAAGCTGATAGCCCACCTGCAGGATAGTATGTATGGATGACAATGTAATGGTCCACCCGCCTGCACTAACGGTTTACACTGGCGGGGCACCAGTGGAGGATGATAAAATGAACATGAGGTCAACTCAGTTGGCCTGTAGCAAAATTTACTTGTCATATATAGATGTGGGTATGTGCTATGTAGCTTGTATCACTTTATGTAAAGCAGATATTGTGCCTACCTATACACTTTATTAATCAACAAAGTATAAAAGTAAGTACCCACATCAATATATGACACTACTAAACCAATTGAAATTAAATTTTGATATACAGATAGTCTGCCCCTAAGAAAGGAGATAGGCAACTTTTTAATGCGAAAAAAGGTAGTTGCAGTAGGTTTTGTGTGAATGAATAACAAACATACATCTATACTCACAAACTTCCAGATTTATAATGTTGGTAACATTTTCAGGTGATGGCAGACATGTAAATAATAATGCAGATGCAGAGACGAAGCATGGAGGCGAGCAGTGAGGCCAGCTACTGTTAGTATATATATATTAATAACTAGCTGTACTTGCGACTTTGTCCGCATTAACTTTATTTTTCTAAAATAAAAGTAGCCTATGTTACTCCTTATTACATCAGCTACGTGCCAAAAAAAAGTCCCATCAAAATCGGTCCAGCCATTTCAGAGATTACCCGGAACAAACAGATGGACAGACAAAAATTGTAAAAAATTACATTTTGGTGTATATACCGTATTTATATTCATAGGCATGTAGTAAGAAACGGTTATTTCAATATTACAAACAGACACTACATTTTTTTTATATATATAGATGATAAGTATTAGAATCTTATTCTATTAGCTCTGTCCCATTTTATCATGGATCAGCTCTCCTAATTTTTCGGCGCCAGCACTATCTGTACACTATCGCGATTATCTTTGGAAGACCTCAAATATAGAAATAGAAATAATCTTTATTCAAATAAATTTAATATAAGCACTTTTGAATAGTCAAGATTTTTTATTCTACCGCTCATTCGGAATGCAGATTCATCACAAGAAGAATGAACAAGAAACTTGTGTGTTGCTCTTTTAAATAAATATTTATTTACTTATATTTAATTACCAACAAGGATTAGGCATGCGACAATCAACATAGAAACCGCTACACACTTAATCTCTGTTCAATCAGATAACAATTAAACAATATATATAATATAATAACAATATAAATAATTTTCCCCGTTTTTGCAACAAATTTGATTCATAAAAAAGGTTATAGAGAGTCAATCTTAAAAAAAAGATATTACTTAAAAAAAAAGATTAATCTCTAAAAAAAAGATAGACATATCGCATTATAAAACTGTCTTAACTTAAAAATTACAAATTTTAGAAAGTACACTTTATAATAGTGATAATAAAGACTAATTTCAAATATTTTTAAATTCTCAATAACACCAGCTATTATCATCTGCTTCTTCCTTATCCCTTTTATTT